GCTGCTGGTATTAAAAACACTCCTTTGAGCTACAGAGAAGGGGCCAGTAACAAGACGAATGACAGCCAGTTTTCTATTTCAGAAATACTGTACAGCCTCTGTCATGTGTAGCTGCCACTACTTGCAGTGAAAGATTTGCAGCCTTACGCTTACATGTGAGCCAGCAGTCAGGCCTTCCGTCTGTGTTGATTCAGCAGAGGGCTGGAACGAAACACTAACAGGCAAATAAATCCTAGCAGTTGCTTTCCACCTGGATGCAGGTCCCTGGAACTGCCTGGCCTCCTTTTGCTTTGGGACTCCAAATGCAAAAGCCTGTATGGGAGGGTTACAACAAGGGTGCTCTTTGGTAGATGGGAATAAAACAGAGATTCTGTTGGGGGTGGGGAATACCCGCCTCTGTTGTCGTATCTGCTGGCCTTTTATCTGAACGGTACGTACAGGAATTCAGAATGTGGCTGAAAACAGAGGAAATGGCTCGTATTCATTGATATTTTTGTTGTATGCTGAGGTAGTTCAGTTACTTTATTCAATTTCCTGTCTACTTCTAATTTTTAAGATATTTTTCTGACTTTTGTTGTTGTGTACAGATAAATCTGCTTGTCCAGTTTGATTATTTTTCTCTCTTGGTCAAAGTAGTACATTTTCTCTCTCCCTCCCTGCCCCCCTCCCCGCCCCCCCCCCCCCCCCCCCATCCAGTGAACCTCCTCAGTATTGCTGCAGCAATCTAAGCCAGTATCTCTAATCTCTATAGCCTGTAAAATTCAGAATATCTGTCTTAATGGCTTCCAAGCAGTAACTATAAAAGGACAGATTTATTCTGAAAAACTGGATTGGAAAGGTTGTTTTATTGCAAAAGTATTTTCACACACATGTCATTGAGACCACTATCTAACCGATTTCTTACAGTCAATAGAAATTTTTTTTTTCCCCTTTGTATCGTATCTTCAAAGCTTATCAGCTTTTTCCTTCTAGCAGCTTTTGTAAAAGCACTAGTAGAAAGACACTGTTGGTGAAATGCTTTTATTAATGCTTCCATTAATGCTAGAGGTTTCTGGGTTGTAGGTTCAGATGATCTCATTCTGTCAATCAGAGTTAATACAGAGGTATTACATTAGAATATAAATGCTCAGCTTCCAGTATCTTTAGTTGCCTGTAAAATATTCCTGGTTTGAGTCTTCTAATCTTTTCTTTCCAGTCCTTCTACCCTTTTGTGCTGAGTTTTGGAATCAATAGTCATGCTATGCTCCATTTATTGTTAGAAAAATTTGTTTCTTGAAGTGCAGGAAATAGTAAATGTAATTAAATTATGAGAATCCAGTGGAAAGCATTGTTGACTATGCGCAGTAAATTAATGTTTAGTCATGTTGTGGACTTCAATGAAAGCAGGTGTCTACATGATTACACCCCCCAGGTATCCCACCGGTATTTTTCGGCTGTTCAGATGTTTATGTCAAAAAAAAAAAAAAAAAAAAAAAAAGAACTTCTCAAAAATATACTTGTGTCCACAATTACAAAAAATGAAACAGAACTTGTAAGTTCCTGTCCACTTGCTTGCCTCACGTCACAACTCAATCCAGTCTGTTCCTCCTCTTGCTTGGCTGCTCAGGAAGATGAAAGTGGTGGTGGATATTGTAGCACAGAAAATGCCATCTGAAAATGATATTCATGGGGCGAGAAACTATCTTATGAAGATCTTGAGAAGTTCCATGAGGTACAGTACTGACTTTCCAAGTGCATCCCTTCTGTTCCTTCCCAGTGCTTGAATTCCTCTACCATTTGGCAAACCCATAGCAAACTGTCGCAGAAGTCCTCTTTCCCAACCTTTGTTTCCTCACACTCCAAACATTGCTAGTTTTCTAGTCTTGTGTTTCCTTAGTGGTGCATCATAGAAAAGTAATTGTCTCATAATAGATAAACCTTTTTGCTGAATTGATGCCTAGGAGGTCTACTGAATTTGCCTAAATAGGTATTTGTGGTTTGCCGTGCCGGTATCAATACCATTAGAGGTGAGCTGTGGGGAAAAAAAACCCTTCGATGTTCTGTGCAACTGAACAGTGGAACGATTTTTTTCCATACCTAAACACAGGCTTGGGGCCCTTGGAGTGTGCAAGGACCGTCCGGAGCCCAGCATCACGTGGCTGAGCAGAATCTTTTGCACTTCTTTGCACTGAGAGTATTTGGGCTCCTCTACTGACTCTCTGAATTTCATATTCTACCAAGAAAGAAGAACATAGTGATGCTCTGCTTAACTGTTTTCTCTTTTGTCATGCTGGAAAGAGTAGGCTTTTGTTTATGGAAACAATTACTTCTTTTTTTAGTGACAGTAATGATGCTACACTTAGTGAAATTACAGCTTCCCTGTAGAATTATTATTCTCCTTTTGTAGTCCTGCATGCAGAGTTTGGAAAGGCAATTAATCATTGAAATCATCAGATTTTCCTGAATGTACTGCAAAAGGCCATGTACTCAAATTTGACCTGTTTTGAAGATACTGGGTTTATAATGAGCTTTAGTTTTGTTCTCTAAATCCAGTGGCTGTCTGAAAACCCAAATTTATAAAAAGGGGGAATGAGTAAAAAAAATGTAGAACTCATTAGAGTTCAAGTTGAAAATAGGGAACACTTTCTCAGTTTAGCAAATTACTTTGTAACTTACATGAGTTACTTGACCTTGCAGTAATAAACTTCAAAAATACGTAAGTGAAATACATAAATGCATTAAAAAAACCCTCAAGAGCTAAGGTCCTGTAAGCCTTTGTTTCAGACTGTGGCTTGGAAGGATGGGATTTGTCTCACCTTATACCTCGTCTAAATTTTAAATTACACTTCCCCCAAGATGCGCCAAAGAGAAGGGCAGGATGAATTACCTTCAACAAGTTCCTGCCTTGTTCCCCGGCAACGGAGAGGGTCTAGACAAATGGCCCGTGCTCGGCATCTGCTCACTGAAACAGAAGTAGCTGAATTCCACCCAGAAGGCTTATTTAACATTGGGGAAAAAAATGCACTTATTTTGTGAGTGCCAAGAGGTGTTACAAACAGCAGGTCCTTGGAAGGAAGCACAAGCTGTTGTTACTAATTCCTGAACAGAAGGAAGGGGCAGAGGAGTGTAGAGCAGTTTTGCAGAAAGGTTTGCAAGGTACAAAGCTCTAGCAACTTACTGCTAGAGGGATCTCTTAGAAGGGATCTCTTCAGTTACATGAGCATGTACATTTGGAGGTGACATCCAAGTAGGTATGTGAGGACTTTGAATTGCTGAACTATTTTTGAGGTGTATTCTTCAAAAAACAACAACAAAAAAAACCCAAACAAACAAAAAAACCCCTGTATACCTGGGGTGCCAAACATTTCAAGAGCTGAAGCAGAACTTGGCTGGAGTTAAAATTATTAGTTATATCACTCTTACTAACTTGTATGAAACAAGGTACGTGGCTTTATTCCTTCCTGTCATTAACTCTTTCTTCCCACCTCCTCCCATAATCACGTACCTACAGTAAAACCTTGCCAAAGCACTACTGTACTGTTGACATGTTGTAGAAGAGTCATTAGCTTTAACTGTTAAAGCTCTGGATACGTGTCAGGTATTTTAAAATTTGCTTGCCTGTCTCTGCTCCTCCTAAAAACTACCTCACCCCCAAAATAAATAAAATTTAAAAAAAAAGAACAAAACACCCAAGCACAGACCTTGGAGAGTTGTTGGCGTTTCACTGCATCTCAAGCATTTTAAACGAATGCTGGTATCTTTTCAAAACTGGCATGCATGTAGAAAGTTGTCTCGTTTGCTGTCATTTAAAGTGATTAGGCCTCTGTCCTATCTGTATAGCGTTTGACTACTGCCCTGGTAGATTTTTTGCTGCATGTCACCTTACTGAACTGTTTGCATTAAACTAGAGCACTCTAACTCTCTCGTTTTCAGAAGAAATGACCTAGCCTGCAGGCCTCACTCCTGGCATGCCACCAAATTTACAGAAAGTCAACCTGAGACAGCCACGTCACACCTTTCCTCCTCCAATGCCTGCGCTTCCTGGCACTCACGCTATCATGCAAGGTGAGTCTCTGTTTGAGTTACACGCATTAAGCTCCAACATCGAGACAATAATAATGTAGGTCATGACATTGAGTGTCTTTTAAAACCACAAAGACGTATAATTGTATTATACGTCTTTAGTATTGCCTGTCCTTTCAATGCTTGAAGGGGGAGCATGGGAAGTTTGACGTATGGATGAGTGGATTTCAGAAACAGTGGTATGTGCGTGTGACTGAAAGGTAAGAAACTAGCTTTAAAGGCACTCAAAAGGTTATGTTTCTTGCTCTGCATTTCCTTTCAGTGTCCACTGGTAAAATCCTAAACCTTTGTAAGTGAAAAGAAACCATCAAAATTAACATACTTAAAGTGAAATAGTAAAGGGAGAAGAAGAAATTGAAAAATACTGTCTGAGACTATTAAAAAGCCTTTTCCTGAAGGGAGGGTGCAGAATGTTTTCCTGCTGGACTTTAAGGTATTACTGGTTTTATTAGTTAAACTGTCTTTCTGTAATCTGATCTTCCCTACAGCTGTGCTCTTGTTTGTGCAGAGAGGTCATAAGACCAATGATTTTCAGTCCCTGTTTAAAACACCTTAATATTTGTTTAAAACACCTTAATATTTGTGAGGTCTCATTCAGCACTAGGGGAGAAAGGCTGGCACCCATGCAGTTTTAGCTGTGAAACTTTAAACTTTTAGGTAATGCCTGTTTGTGTCTGGTTACAGGTTCTTGTTTGTTTCCTGCTCGTAAGTGACATTCTTCAGCGTTTTCACAAGGGTTTTTTGTTTTGTTTTGTTTTTCTTTTGTCGCTTTTTTTCTTCTCAGTTCCCATTGGGCCATAGTTATGCTGAGCATTAAAGAAAATGAGTTTGGTACGCAATCCCAGTTTGGAAAGTAGGCTTGTGTTTCTTACTTACTGCTGTACATTTTCTGTCATTACTACTTGATGTTAATTTATGGTGGTAGTTAAAACAGAAGAACATTCATACTTTAAGATTTTATTTTATTTTTCATGTCATTTTTACAATCGTTTTTACATCGTTTGTTTTCTTTAGAAGCTCCCTACTGTTTTTAAAATAACGTGCTATCTGCCCTTGAATAAAGCATGAATGTTAACATTTACACAGAAAGGTTTTTTAGATGCATTTTGTAATACTTCGTTAGCAGAAGTTTTAGCACATTATATTTCTCAAATCCTCGATTATAATTGCTGCTGGTTTACACTGATTTAGAGAGTTTGTATTTAAATTTCATGTAGATGGGCTGAATTAGATTTATAGATTTGAAGACAGTGTAAGTCCTTTTACATAGAAACAAAATTCAGAAATTTCTAAAAACTTTATAGAATTCCTGGTTGCAATGCTTGCTCGAGTATTTCTACTTTTGGTCTACTGAGTCTTCTTTACTGAGCTGTAGATCAATATGTGCTTCCTGTTCTTCCTGATGGTTGTCCTTGTACCTTGTGAAAGTAAAATACTACAAGACACATGACTCCAAATGTAATTTGATAGGAGCTGGGCAAATCACAATATTTAAAAAAGAAAAAAAAAAATTAATTTGGTTCAAGGCCAGTTTGAAATGAGCTTCAGGCAGGAAATTGTGGGTGTAAAGGAAAAAGGGGAGGGGAATAGAGCAATCCTCTCGCCCCACATATCAGAAATAGCAGCAACTGCTGGTAGACATCAATATTAATAAAAAGGGCAAATTCTGCTTTCTCAGATGCCACTGAAAGATTTAGTGGCTTTAGCGTAGTCTAATACCAGGGTTCCCATGGCACTGCCATCCTGAACCCCTTGGCTGCCTGTGCTGCCCGCTTGAAAGGTGATGTATTTGGAAGATCTGTCAGTCCTCGTGTCTACTGCCCAAGACAGTTTCAGTGGCGGAGCTGACTTCAGACTGTGGCTGCTGGAGGCCCAGCATTCCCAGACAGCCAGCCCAAGGATTTGGGTATTTTGAGGATCCCAGTTGCAGAGGGCGGTTCTTTGGGCTGGCTCGTCTGCAAAAAGAGAAGGCGAGCCGCTTCAGAGATTCCCCATTTTCAAAGTACAATTCACAAACCCAAGAAGCACCATGCACTCTATGTCAAGCACCAAGCTAAAGAGGATGCAGAGCAATCAGTAGCTGAAAGCAGCCGTATGCAAGGAGATAATAGAAACAGCCCCAGGAGGGTGTATTTCTAGCCCAAGGATCCCATCCTTGGTCTATTTCTGGAATTTCTTGTCCTTCCTTGAGGAAGGTCATCTGAGATTGGTATTCACAGCCTAAAATCTCTTCTGAATGCGCTTGCCTGCATTCTCTCTGTGAGTGTGAAAACTAAATCACTTGTAAAAAAACATGGAGAGTTCAATTAGGGGGGAGAGATGGTTTTGCTCTCTTCCAAGCAGGATATACCTGGATTTTGTGTGTTGGGGGGTGGCGCGCAGCTGGACAAAACAACCCTCTGAAAATTGTCCTTATTACCTAGGTGGGTGCTAGATTAAGCTATGGGTAATTTGATGTGATTTGGTTTTGGGGGGTTTTTTTGGTTGGTTTTAGTTGGAGTTTTTTGCCAGCCTACTGAATTTGGACCTTTGAGAAGGTGTATGAAGCTAGAAGAAGACAGACAGACCAGAAGAGACCATACCAGTGTAGATAGGAGAGTGGGTAGTTCTGGAGCCGAGCTCTCCACATCCGCCACTATATGTGTATTTTTTGTCATGTGATTTTCATTCAAAAACTATCTTGAGCTATCTTGGGAGCACTAGGCCAGGTCTAGGTGCCTCTCAGGCAAGGCTAGAGAGTTAGACCTTGTAAGCTTTTGGTGCCTTAATTTCCCTCTGTGAGTCTTCTGCTGTCTTTTTCACAGAAGTCATACCTTAACAACATTGGATGCTGACTTTTTTCCTAGCCCATCCTAGACTAAGGCTGAGTGCACTTGCTGGGAGATGTGGATATGAACTATTTTAAGTTGCTGGAAGTTTAGACCCTGCATTTTCTTCCAGTAGGATATACTAAAATAGAGGACCTTACAATATTTTTTTTCCATGCCCCTGGGTGTGCAGTTGAAACCAACAACCTTTTCTACTTCGTTCTGGCCTTACAGGTGTGTGTGTGAGGCAAGTATGCTTTGAGAAGTCTGTTTAAACTGAGTTTTTCATGCAATTAGGGTCAGGTACATCTGGTCTGTAATCCCATGCGGTCTGAATGTGGTCTGATTGCTGAGATTATGTCATTTCTGGGAGGACCCAGAAGCAGAAACTCATGCCCCAGGGTTGGGGGGGCGGGAGTTGCTTATTGGCCAGAGTGGCCAAGGATGGTGTTTGTAGGTTATTCCTGGACTTTATCTGCCAGACTTCAGCCAGCAGTGTAGGTGCTTTTGTGAATCCACTCTAAAAAAAGCTACTGAGAGAAGGATATCCTAGGATGCCAGGCTCGGGCAGAGAAATGGCTTTTGGACTCTTTTCCATGTCAGGGTTTGTGGGAGGATTACCCTGCAGTTAAGGACCACAGGACCACACTGCTTTGCAGTTACACACCATCAGAAACTTTCCTGTCCTTTCTTTGAAGCTTTTGCTGCATCTGCTGGGTTTCCATTAGGCGTTTTCTAGCAGGGCTTTGACCTCTTATGCTGATGATCTCTGCTTCACATTTGATACCAGCAGATCTACATGAGACTTGTAAATTGTAAATTGAGGCTTTCCTTCACAGGTGTCATCTTTATTTTAATCGATGCCAAGTATCTCCTTAATGCTGAAGAGGGGGAAAAATATCAGCAATTCGTAGCAGTATCTGGCTTACGTTCTTCATTAACAAAGGAGATCCTCGTAATGACCAAGACACTTTTTACATGAACGACAGTATCTGCCTAAGAAGACAATTAAGACCTTTTTAAGTATTCAGCAAGATGTTTTAAAGTGCTGAAAATAAAAGAATGAAAGAATAAAATACCCACAAGATGAGGCCAATGCTAGTGTATCTTGTTAATGAAATGCTTTTAGAAAATAAGCACAAAGTATACCTTCTCTTATTTCACATGAATTGCTTTTGACTATGTTGTATAAAAAAGTTACAAAGGCTGTAGTAATGGGGGGCGGGGGGGGAAGCAATTCTCATGTCAATACTGAATTCCAAAGAACTGTTTAGTTGACCTTTGCAATATTTTCGGCAGAAAAAAAGATGTATATCTCTCTTTGTATTTTTTTTATGTGGACTAATCTAATTTCATTGCTAGCTTTCACAGGTTTCTTTACTACACAAGATTTGATAGATGCTTCATATAATTATAGCTACAGGGAAGTGGAATAATTCTGGGATTTCTACCAAGGGGCTTTGCATGCAAGGGCAAGAATTTGAATTTGGTGTATAAAAGCAGGAGGGGCTGCCAGTGAAGTTCAAACAGGGAGATGTGATGAGAATAATTGGAGAGACTATTGTCTCGGCATCAGTGTGTTGGATTGACAGGAGGTGGATGCTGTGAAAGATATAAAAGAAAAGAAAGAAAGAAAACAACAAAACTGATTGGATAGGAAAACAACAGAAGCAGCAAGATTTTGAAATAGTGTCCTAGGCAAATGATCCAGAGAAAGTACAATGGCAAAGATGACGTTTCTATAGAGTAAAGAGTGGCAGAGAGGAACTGGTGGCTGTAAGGATTCTTGAAGAAAGGTCAGAAGTTCAGTTTTGGCCATGGAGAGCTTACGTTGCTCTGACATCTCCTCCTGACGTTTTCCTGTCAGTATTGTGGAAGTGGGTGGAATTGAATTACGTTGTTGTAAGGGTGTCAACCTGAGTGGTTTGAAGCCACATTGGCAAGGTGCATGTGGTGGCTCAGAACTAAAATGGTGGCATTTGAGGCAAATGTTTTAGTGAACCTCCATTTAGAAATGAAAATATTAAATGAATGGGCAGATTTGGATAAGCAGGACAACGGAATAACTTTATGGGCTGAAGAAGTTTAGAGTGAGGTTACCAAAGATGAACAGGGAAGTACAGGAGTTTAATAGCTGGAAGAATTGGGGGGCCTGGAAATAAGCTGAAAAGTAAGTTGGTGTTTGTCCTGGGAAAGAGGGAGCTAATGGAGCTCAAACTAAATTTGTCTAAAAGTAAAGTCAGCAAAAGCAACAATTTGCAGAGGGAGAGGGGAGCCTTCAAGCAGATAAATGTGTATTACTTATTGGTAAACTTACAAAGGGAAGTTGAGTTAGTTATTAGGGTTTCAAGCTTTGAATCAGTGGCAGAGTATAAAGATAAAGCCCTGACTTTGTGTTCAAACTTCCAATTTTATTAGATTGTTTGTTTTGAGTAACTGCAATGCAGATGGATCTTAATCGATGTTAGTAAAATTGGTGGCTATGTATTTGTAATTACGTTATGATTTTTTTTTGACTGGTATATTTATGCTGAGGCTTTTTGTTTGTTTCCTACTATAGTTGTTCTTCTCATGACCTGTCAAACTCATGGGATCAGTCAAGTCTACATCGCACTTCTGACCAATTCAGCTCTTTGGGAAGTATGGACAGCTGGGACCACACTCCACAAGTAGCCCAGTACGGAAGACTTTCTTCTGCAAGGTCTAATAGTAGCATTGATCATCTAGGGAGCCAAAGTAAGCGGGATTCAGCCTATGGGTCTTTCTCCACGAGTTCTAGCACTCCAGACCACACTCTATCCAATGCAGACACTTCTTCAACAGAGAACATGCTATACAAAGTAGGCCACTGGGAGACTGCTAAGCATGGAAACAAGTCTGGCCAGTTCTTGAATGACAACAGTGGAACAGAGGACAAACCTGGGTATTTGCCAGCTCCCATCCAATACGAGAACAACAAAAGTCCTAGAATAGAGGAACACCCTGATGGCAAGCTCACTAGCTCTGGAAGATCCAGTTTTGGACCTGTCTGGTATGTTCCTGATAAGAAGAAGTCTTCATCTCCTCCCCCCCCACCTCCACCTCTTCGTAGTGACAGCTTTGCTGCTACCAAAGGCCATGAGAAAGCCCATGGCCCTGTGTACTCAGAGGGTGCCAGCACGCAGCACTTTACAGCCCTGAACCGGTCTCAGCCCAGGAGTGACTGGAATTTGGAAACTGTAGAGCAGCAGCGGCGACCCTCCAGAGCGTGTGACAGGAGGGTCAGCAGCTCAAATTATAAATCTGATCTCAGTTCAGAACAGACTTTTTCTTCAGCTGGTGAAAGGTTCAATAGTAATGCAGGAACTGTGAACAAACTGCAGTCGTCCTTGTCCAGCACTGATGTTCGGTTTGCACAGCCTACTTACAGTTACCACCACCAGCACCAGTACAGTGATGAAAGCACTTTTTTCCACAATGCAAGAATCTTAGCTGCGCCTAAAGATCAGCAACATTATCTGTCCTATAGTGGCATTCAGGAGTTACCTACAGATCATTTTCATGGCTACAGTCCAAACCAAGCCAGTCTGCTCAACACTTCTTCGAACAGTGCTGCTGAACAGAAGGTGGACAACACTGGACAGAGTCGCTATTATTGTGTGACAGCAAAACAGCCTGCTCAGGGAAGCTCAAAGCCACTACAACTCAAGGACGACAGCTGGAAACCTGCAATGGGGACTGATGCATCGCTTGGACCTCACGAAAATCCTGCAGTTGTCGCAATGGTCCAAAAACCAAAGTATTATCTACCTCAAGAATCTGTTGAATCTTCACTGCAAGGGTGTGAGAACAGTAGTCATTTCCCAGTGGACAGAGAGGGGGATGCTAGGTGTGCTGTAGTAGAAGAAGCTAAAAAACCCAGTCATACTGAAAAGTCTGGACAAAAGAAAAACTTTGAGAGCAGCTCTGAGGAAAGTGAAACTAGGTATGGTCAACAGGGGTATGTAAAGGGCTGTGTCCTTACCACTGAAAACAGATCTGCTCAGAAAGATTTTAGGTGGGGAAAAGATGAAAGTAGCAAGATTTCTCCTCAGAAGACCCCAATGTTGCACTCTTTAGCTCAGGAAGGGAAAAAGCAGTCTGACAACAGCCCAGAAGTGGTAACAGAGCGACAGGCCCCATTTGACACTCACTTGTCTAAACAGGCACGAAGGAGCGATCGTTTTGCAACAACTCTGAGAAATGAGATCCAAATGAGAAGAGCGAAGCTGCAGAAAAGTAGAAGCACTGCTACGTTAGTAGGATCGTCTGAAACGGAGGAGTGCAATGAGACCTGGAAGCCAGATCCAGCAGAAAATGTCACCGCCTCCCCAGACACTAACTTTACCAGCACCTACAAAGATCACCTCAAGGAAGCGCAGGCCAGGGTTCTGAGGGCAACATCCTTCAAACGGCGGGACTTGGAGCCCAGCCCCGCTGAGTATCTCCCCAGGTCACCTGAGCGGAAAACTGGTAGTTACAACTCTTCGTTACTGGCTTTGGTTTCTGAAGATGTGTCTGGATTCCTCGAGGCTACACAAGCTAAGCCGAACCCTACAGGGAGTGGCACTCATCACGTTTCTCGCATCGGAGCCAGGAAGAGGTTCACAACAGAGCAGAAACTGAAGTCTTACTCTGAACCGGAGAAGATGAATGAGGTGGGGATGTTAGAGGATGAGTGCCGTGCTCGTTGCCGTCCAAATACATCTGAAGAAGCCCTGGGATCATTTGCAGACAGGTGGAAATTTTTTGAAGAAACAAGTAAGCCTGCATATAGGAAATTGGCACAGAAACCAGCTCCTCACAGTCTAGCTGAGGGACAGCCTGAGAGGCCAGATAGGAAAGTTCACAGTGGACAAGAGGGAGAGGAGTCGTGGTATGAGAGAAGAGGTCGGGCAGCCTCTGTTGGACTTGAAACTGCACATGCTTCAAAAGATAACATCCACCATAGTACCAGCAATAAGGCTGCTGATAGGATTGTGAAAGCTGAACAGCCGCAGCGCCTGGGAACCTTTGCAGAGTATCAGGCATCGTGGAAGGAGCAGCGGAAGCCAATAGAGCCAAGGAGCTCAGGAAGGTACCATTCGGCCGATAATATCCTTGATGCAGGCCACGAACAACATGAGAAACCCCAGTATGCTCATGAGAGGTCTAGATCATCCCCTTCTACTGATTTCTACAAACAGGTACAAGTGTCTTTTGCATTATCCTTTCAATTGCCCGAGGCGGGGCTTTTTTTTGGGAAAGAGACCGTTTTTATGAAAATTTCCAGTTTAGGAATACAATGTAGTATGGTGTTTGCCTTTTGTCAGTAAGGCAATAATTGTTATAGATAGCTCTCATAAGTAAAATGAAGAAGATCAAAGTTTGTATTGCACAGGAATTGAGTGTAGCAAAGAGCAATTGGATCAAGAAATTTCTTGTGTGTTGTAGCCAGATGGAAGAAAACAACCTTTTGATTTGATAATACCCTCTTTTTTACAATAGAGGTATAGGAGGATCAAAGCCATCTTCACCCGGAGTTATTTCTTCATTGGTGTGGCTGCCTTCCCCATTTTAAGGCTTTCAGTTCTCTGAAACTATGAAGAAAAATGTTCCAAGGGGAAATAATGTCTACTTTTGTCCAATTTTGTTAATGTCTAATCATTTTCCATGGATTTCCGCTTTTCTTCTAAACTTGCTTGATGCAAAATCTACATAGGACAAAACTGCCTAATAAAGTTTAGAGACAAAAAATATGCCCGTTAATGTTAAAGCTACACTACAGCAACAAATGAAACTGCTCAATGTTTTATTTTATGTCAGTTTGCTTGATTTAAGATGTATAAATTCATTCCTTAGAGAGATGCCAAATGTCTGTTCAACTTGCAAGTAAATATTAAGTTAATTTTTAACTGAGCAGGGAATGGTTGGCAGGTGGCAGGGGAAGTAAACAGAGAAACTGAGTCTCTTAAGTTCTCTGTTTAAAAGATGTTGTTCAAGCTGCTGCAAGATTGCCTGATACATATAAGGCAATCATAGTGTATTCAGTCTGTGGTGCACTTCACCTTATGCCAGAAAAGAATTGAAGCAATGTAGTTGTATATTATTTTTTCCTTCTTTTTCCCTCTTGGTAAAAACATTGCATACATACATACACATCCACACAGCACCTCTGTGTGTATATATACAGGGAGCAGAATGAGAATAGCTCAAAAAGAAACAAAATATGTTGATCTCTAAAAGTTGTGGACTCTTTTTCTTTAAGTTTTTTGTGTCTTTAAGTTTTGCAAAAGTTATTTTTGAACCTTATGTGCAGACTTAACTATGCAGATAATTTACTAGGGTAGAGATTCCAAGCACTGGAAATATTCACCTGGAAGTTATTTTGAAAATTAAATTAACTAAATTATTAAAGAATTGCCTACCCAGCAGAAAAATCATCATGTAATCTATTCCATGTATGCATTTCTGGTTTATTAGTCAGTGCCTTTAAGTTCAGTATAGGCCTCCTGGGGCAAAAAGCAGACACCTGTTTAGGCACCTGGAAAATATGGTGATAAGATGCTTACAACAGGCTGAAGTAAATAAAGATGTTGTTTCGCATGATTCCAGTGCTAATGCGCAATTAAATTTCCTGTAGGTTCGGTGTTTGTAATGCAAAGCTATGCTTTGGGTGTGGTTGTTTGAAGATAGTGAGATAATAAAATTCTGGAACAGTGATGATGTGTGTTTTAACGAGAAACTGAAGTACGCGCTCAGGGATTCAAAAGCTGGTGTGTACTTGCCTCTTCTAAAATGTGAGCAACTCTTCTGTAACTTCTTTGCCGCTTTTTTTTTTTTTTTGTCTTTGCCAAATGGAAGTTGTGAAGGTTTATATTCTGTAGATCTACTCTTCTGTAGATCGGCAAAGTAGAACAGTAACTCGAGCACAGCCAGGTCGGTAGTGCTGCGCAAGAGGTCACATAGCATACTGTACCACTTAAAACTAAACAAGCTTAAGACATGCTGTGCTGTTGACTTCATGTATATTCAAACAGAGCAAACCCACAAATAAGAGGTTCCATAATCATAGATTTTTCAGGAGTCTGAAACATGATGACTTGGTGTCTTACTTGTGCTATAAACCACTTTTAGGAAGTCTCAGTTGAAGTAAGGAGGCAAGCGGAGGATTTAAAGGAAGATGGGGAGCGTATTTTCTCTAAAGTTAACAATCTGGATGAAAGGAGCTGCACTGTAAGGTAAGTATTTCTTAATTTCTGGCTTTAAGAGATTTCTTACAACAGCTCTGATCTGATCTTTTCCTGACCCAAAGTGGAAATTTTGCTGTGATGATTTCAGAGTTTTTGCAATGCCTTTTTCCCTTGTTTCCCTCTTTCTCCCCACGTACTTCAACATGCATGATAGAATTAATGTTGGGACTGAAATTTATGGGGACTCTAAGAAATTGTCAAGTGCTGAGCGTATTACAGTTTGTTCGGAGCCAGATGATTCTTACTAGTGGCATGAAATGATTCAGATATTTTTCATATTTATCAGTTACAGGTTTTTGGCGAGGGGGGGGAATGCTTGAGGTTTCCCAAAAGAGTTTCCGGTATTATCCTTGGCAAAGGCAGCATGCTACTGGAACACAGTAGTGCTGTAAATTGGACTTTTCTCTACTTGTGCCTTTACAGAATGCAGTATATGAACAGAAGCCACCAAAAGTTGTTTTCCCATTTGATCAGCTCCACTTTTCTCTGTTAATTCATGTTTTAATTAAATTGTACAATATTTTCAGACCCCTTTCAAATGTATGACTGTATGCACAATGCAGTTCAAGTCTGTAAATGTCTAGCACGCAGGGGGGTGCCCTCCTGCTGGCCTGCAGTTTGCTGGACCCGTTGTAATGTAAGTGATTTCGGTGATCGCTGATACTGTGGCTGCTTAAGTGGCGTGTGGCAGCTGAACTGAGATTGTGCACACGCTGCTATTGCCAGGTTTGATAGCTCCTGTTTTTGTAACAGAAGAAACATGTATAGGAAAAATAATTTCTTCAGGCTTTCCTCAGTTCTGTAAGTGGTATTAATCTTTCAAGGGGAGAGAAAATTATGAACTGTAGCAAACACATACTCTAGTCGTGCCATAAAAGCTTGTAAAAAATTAGTATTTATTTGTGGGTTTATATGGTTGTATTTTGCATTGCTTATGGCCCCACTGAAGAGACCATCTGCTATTTTTCTGATTCTTTGTAGCCCTTTGTACTTACCCTAGTGATTTCAAAATGAATAGCCCATGAGGGTGTGAATGTGTGCGCCCATGTGCGCACGCGCCATGGAGGGGAGATTGGGCTGGAGGGGAGGGAGAGGGGGAGGCGGCAGCACAATCAGCTGGGGGCAGACGTACTTCTGTAGGCAGACAGCATCTCTGGACAAGTAAAATGATTTCCATCCACCAGTGCTGAACCCTAGTCACAAAAGCATGTGAATAATACTCCTACGCCAGCATTTTAGCAGTGTTTGTGCAGCACAATTCTTGCTTTATAATCATGGAATCCATGAAAATCACATGACTGGGCACCAGCTGCAATAACTTTTTTTTTTTAAGCCGAAGCCTATTTTGACATACTATTTCAGATGTAGTATTTGGCCATTTCACTGCATTACAGGAAGTTTTGTAAAATGGTCTCTTTCGCAGTCTTTCCCTCAGCACTTGTGTTATGCAGAGGGCTTATATGTCTTTCGTATTCAAAAAACTAAATAAATAAAATCTGTCATTTAGGCGTTCAATTTCTGTGTTGTGAACTACCACTGCATGATGATGAATGGCTGCCCTATGGGAAGAATATGTATTTCCATCTGCTCTTTTTTTAACAAGGCGTTCCTGTGCTCAAAAGGAACTGGACTCATCATGACATGAATTGATTTTATGATTTTTGAGCTGCCCTAAAGGCATTTAGTTTCCTACTTTTAAAAGCTGGCAATGTGGAAATGGCTAGCAAATCTACCTAATCCGTGGTATATTCTAGAATGTGAATATTAACCAAATCTAAGGTCTTCCTTGTGGTCACATTTAGTATTTTCTTTGAAAATTTGGGTTTGGATTATATTGCTGATGGCCCTTATTTTGTGCTACTGAGGCCTGTGTGCTGCAGTTGCTTTTGTGCTACCAAAGCCAGCGTGACCTTGCTGGACACAGGAGCAGCCCTTAAGCATTTGTGTGGGTTAGATGTGCAGGGACCCAAGCTGAGAGCCAGCTGTGGAGTCCACAGGTGCCTTCTCTGGGTTAGAGACTGTCCAACGCTACAGGGTGCCTCTGGCCTCCCTCCCCTCCAGTTGTTTTGCAAAAAAAATGAATAATTTGAGTTTTAAATAAACTTTGAATGTTTACTGTTACAGCTTCCCTGATTATTTTCGGGAGAAATATGATTCTTTTTAATGCACTGAATCTAGAATGAAAAAGGGTTGGAGTATAGTAACAGCAAATGGTTAAAAACGAAAGAAAAAAAAAAGGTGTTTGATAAGCAATTTTTTTTCTCCTGGGCTTTTTGCTGCTGGTTTATTTTGCTACAGTATTTTTTTTGGTGCTCTTTTTTAGCACACAATTGCAAAACCTAAATTGACATTACTTCTGAAAGTTTGGGGTTCTTTTTAAAGGTGATTAAGGTAATTTGTGAACTCCTTTCATCTTTGGGCTGTATGTTTCCCCTCTGAGATTACTGAGTGCTTCCAATGAATTCAGGTTGTTTCATCTCCCTTTTTAGAAAAGCTGCAACATGTTCTTCCAAATTGGAGTATTTAATAGCTTGGAGTATTATTTTTATAGGAAGAGAAAGCAGTGGTCCATAGTAGCCATTATTATCTCTCATGCAAGAACCAAACCACTCTTGTTAAGAACTTACAGGCATGCAAATATTCAGCTCAATGTCAGATGACTATTTTTATACTGAGGCTTTATGCAATTCTAAATATGTTTTTAACTTTAAGACTGCTTTAAAAGTTATGTGAGTCTGATGATCTGTAAAACAACAGTTGATGCTTTTTTGTTTTTAATTATGCTACTCTTTCTATGCCAAATTAGCTAAAAAAGCTTAGCTTTTTACAGATGTAAAGTCTGTCCTTCTTTAAACAGGTCTCTCTTTCTGTATTTGTCAAATGATGTATGCTGATTTTATAAACAGCTTCCCTATAGATGTCTCCACAATTTCTAAACCGACATAGCGCTTCAGAAGGCTAAAGATGGAAATGTGTGCTCTGGCCTGTAGTCTGTGGCTTCCTGCAGGATGACACGGCACACATAAAAGTCAATCTGCATCAAAAGAACAGTGCTTTATGATCTAATTCTTAAGATTGCCATCTACTAGCGATGTTCACAGCCATTGTTCTTATTTACTTTCTAAGAACATTTGACTTGTATCTCTATTAATTTGTTTCTGCAATGTTTATGAAAATTACATAATTTCAAAAAGTGAAAAAGGATTTATGGGATCACAGGTTGCAGAAAATCTTTCAACATTTAATAGGTGTCAAGTACAAGAGCATGTGCATGTCAAGTATGGGACCACAGCATGACTCAACTCTAATTAAATACTGTAAGATGTTTCTTTTAGACCTTTCATGCCTTACTAGTTGCTCGTATCTCAGCTCTTGAAGACAGAGGAACAGCCTTTGCCATACAAAAACAAAGTAAAAGTCATTCTTGATGCCTAAGTTGACCTAAATGCCCAAGTTTAATGTTCTAACCAGAACTATATAAGCAGAATGTTTTCACCTTCCTCCCTTCTCCTCTTGAGGAAGAAATGGTATAATCCTGGGCAATTGCTTCCTTACAAATCAGTGAAAAATTACTTCGGCAAACATTTCATGCATGTATTAACAAGGTTCAATATTTTACGGTGCAAAAGGTCTAAGTTCTCTGTTCTACACTTCACTTACAACTGTTGTCATTTTTCACGTAAATTCTTCTAAAGGAGAGAAGTATTTCTTATCAGTTTGCTAAGTATAGAATGACTTGACAAGTAGTATTTTGTAGGAAATAAATTATAAAATACATATGATTACTTTTTTATCTAATGTGCAGTGTACTAACAATTTCTGTGTTCACTTTATTCAAGAGCTTATAAAGTGAAGTGTCCTCTTTTTAAAATCAATTTAAGTCTAATAAGGACTGTTACAAAGGTGTAAGTGCTCTTTTTTGAGGGAGATTAATTATTCAGTTAAAGGGAGAAGAAAACATGCTTTTCATGCAGCCAGAACATACCAGTTTGGTTGAAGTAGTGCTTCAGATATGTGAATATCTAACGATAATGAGTTTACATGTGAAAATGCCTTTTTGCATGAAGTTAAAAATAAAAAATAAATTGCAGTTTTCCCTTTCCAGCAAGTTGTGTGTCGCTATTTTTTGTCTTCTGGAGAAAGTGCCAGAGAACCAACGTGCATCCTCACAGGCTCTTAGCTATTGACAAAAGAATTCAAGAATGTGAGCTGCTGAAGCCTTGGGCTGTTTCAAAGGTTATATTTTGTCTGAAACTGGAAAAACATTCTGTGGCTCTTCCCATGCATATAGAGGCAACAAAGGAGAGAGAGTCCAGCAGCACCTATTCATGTATTAGGAGTCCCCTGCCACCTTTCATCTTCCTTAGATTTCTGTAAATACTTGTAATTAGTACAAGTTTCATTACTATGAACCACTATGTCTTTCCAGTGTACTAGTGTGTGTGACTGACTAATAACAGCTAAAGAAGTATCATGCTTTCAGATAGTGTAACCTTGAATCACTGATACATGAAGGAAGTTGATGGAAGTTGATTCTTAAGAACAGTCATGCTAGGGCAGGCCAAAGGTCTAAGCAGGTTTCCTTTCTCTGACTGAACAGTAGCAGATGCTTGCTGAAAACAAAAACAAGGCAAACGCGGAGCCATGCTGCTGGGTATCCTTGCCCAGCCTCTGCTGATCTGCAGCTAAGAGGTGCAATCCTAAGTATTTGTGGTTAGCAGCCCTTGATGAATTTTTCTTTCAGAAAAGTGTCTGTCTGATTTTGGACCCGCATCAACTTTTGACATCCATAGGTTTTTGTGCTCATGCGTTGTGAGAAAAAGCACCTCTTTGCAGGGGGTGGGTGGAGTGTCTCTTCTGTGAAAGCTGTTGTATGGCTTTGCCCATCCTTATTTTCTTCTTCTTGTCTTTCCACATTCTCATATGTTCCTTTTGGAGCAGTGGGAGAACTGCAACAACATTAGGGTGCACTATGAATTCGTAAAGTA